TACTGTTGCGATGTTGTCGTTGCATAGTTCCTGTAGGCAGCATGAGGGTGGAGAATGGTTTTCTGTGTTGTTTAATTCTACGTGGCCGTTGTCCCCCCCCCAAACAGGTGGTACTGGGGTCCTGTGCAGTACCTGGCAGGTCTGTGCGGTCTTTAACCTGACTGCAGACCTGACTGCAGCTGGTAGGCGCCACCTGGTAACAGCCCATTTGTTTCTTGGGCAGTGAATTTTGGAAGGCTGGAGCTGAGGTTTGTTTCGTGTCTGACTCAGATGGCTGTTTGAGAAACGTGGATGGCAGCTCATGGATGCTGGAAATAGATAAACCCAGAATGACAGGTTTCAGAGTAACAGCTGTGTTCGTCTGTATTCACAAAAAGAAAAGGAGTACTTGTGGCACCTTAGAGACTAACCCATTTATTTGAACATAAGCTTCTCACGAAAGCTTATGCTCAGATAAATGGGTTAGTCTCTAAGGTGTCACAAGTACTCCTTTTTTTTTATAAACCCAGAAGTTTATGTAAAATAATACAAACCAAAGTACTAGGTATTTAAATAGGGCTAATGCGTCCTGGTTTGGTGGAGGCCAGGGCGACCACATGTCCCGATTTTATTGCGGCAGTCCTGATATTCACGGCTTTCTTATAAAGGTGCCTATTACCCCTCATCCCCGTCCTGATTTTTCACTCTTTCTGTCTGGTCCCCCCAGTGGCAGCTAACAGCTGGTGTGCCTGGGATTGCAGTCTGAACTGAACTTCGTTGTGATGGCCGAGGCCACCATCTTTTGTTCTTCCGTCCCATCTCCGCTTTACGCATTCGTTATTGATCGCCGGTGTCATGCTCATAGCCTGGCTTGCTGGGATATGCTTCTGAATGGCTAAGGGCAAAGCTTTTCAACGGCCATGATGGAGTTGAGAATTCCTCCCTTGCAATGGCTCTGATTGCGGCGTTTTACTGTTATAGCTCATATCTGCGTTCACTGCTGTACTAGGACATGAAGTGTCCAGAGTTTTATCGATGGCCTATCCGTGTTTCTTTTGTTATGAGTGTAATACCTCCTGCTTCAGAGCTTCAGCCCATCTCTGTTAGGGATTGGGAGACCTTCACAGAGAACAGGTTATACTGCATTTCCCTACCGCAGGGTTTCTTACACCTTCCTTCCTCTGAAATATCTGGTATTGGTGACTGGAAACTGGCTACTAGAGTAGATGGACCTTGGGTCTGATCCACTCTGGCAGTTCCTATCTTTGCAGTTTTCAGACTTCACCGTCCAAGCTTGAGTTCCCTGAAGCACGTAACGAGCTGTGCTTGGAGGTGCAGGAGCTACCTGCCCGGCACTGCTAGCCACATGCAGTTGGACAAAAAGGGATACATGTAGGCCAGGCCTGAGATTTGAGTTCAGCTGGGTTCGTTAGCTCCTGTAAGGTGGGTGGTGGTCAGTTTAAAATCTAGAAAAGACTCTTCAGCTGGATGGCTCAGATGCTTGCAGTTGTTCGTCACTTTCACAGCAATAGAATCACCACTGGGTAGAGGCCAAACATGGACAGTTCAGTTCCAATAGCGATTGCTGCCAGAATTGGATCATGATAAAGCAGCTGGTTATAGTGGAAATGATTTTGTAATTATAATTCCGGTGGTCACTATCAGCAATACTGTAATTCCTCATCAGCATTACTTAAACTGACAGTCTGGAAATTGCTGGGGATCCTATCTGTGTGCCTGCATATTCCAGCGATACCGCCCAAGAAGCAAGTGATCCTACACTCCAAGGGCTGCAGTGCTCAGGTGGACAAACAAGCCTGGCTGTCCCCGAATCTTAGCAGGACAGCTCTCTTCATACTCTTGGAGTTCTGTGGAGAGGAATTGCTATGATTTGGTTTGTGCTCTGTTAGAGAGAGCAATCTGTCATCCTGTGTGACAGCTGAGTTAAAGGCAACTGTGTCTGTTCTCCAAGGCAGAATGGATCAAGAGTCATGGGAAGCTAGGTTTAAAAAACCAATGCAAGCTCTGAGTGTGCTGGTTCATTTAGGAACCGCACCCGCACCTAAGGTGTGGTGACCGTCTTCCGGCAGATTGTTAGTCTCTGCTGTAACTCTGGCTACATCTACGCTCCAGGGCTGACCGTGTAGAGTAAGGACTTGTGGTGGAGATGCTCTAAGCCACTGGGCGAGAGTTCTCCCATCAGTTAAATAACTCCCGCCTCTGTGGGAAGCAGCGGCTAGGGTGGCAGGAGAAGCTCTCCCGCTGACAAAGCGCTGTCTACACGGCTGCTTACATTGGTGTAATTTATGTCGTGCAGGAGGTGGATTTTTTATACCCCTGAGCGATGTAAGTTATATCGAAGTAACCTGTAGCATAGACAAGATCTCCCTTTACCGGGCTGGCCTTGCAGGTTGTGGCGACGTGGTTTGGAAAAGCAAGTCTCTCCTGCTCTGTTCACGTACAGAGAGTTGTACTGTCCTGGCTTGCTCTGCTGTCGCTAATGTCTGAATCCAGTGTAAATCCCTTGCTTTGGAGTCTTACTCTTCCATTAAGTATTTGCCTGGTACCTGGTGTTGAAACTTGGCATGTAAGAAAGAGCTCATGTTACCACATTCTGAAGATTAGTTTGGCCAGTTCTTGAATTGTGCAAGGGAAAAATCTGGCGCTACACTTCGTTGCATTTCAGATATCTCATTTTAAAACGGTGCCTTTGTCAGTGACTTGTGGAATGCTGCTGGGGTTTGGGGAAAATGCTTTGGAGTTTGAACAGCCAAAATGTTAGCATTTGAAGACTGCTCTGCCTTGTTGAATTTCAGATGGTTAGTGAAGGTCCAGCAAATGGACTCTGTCGCAATGGGCTTGTTGTAAGGACTGAGAGGGGCACCATTCTGGTCTTTTGGGCACTGTGTGTACGACATTCTTTCCAAAAGGAAATGAAATATGAAAACTCTGCTCATAAAATTAATTTCCCAGTGGCTGAAGCGAGGCATTTCCAGACTTTCACATGTCAACTGTAAATGTGCCCGGCCAATGACATTAACTCCAGCATGATGTTAGAAATGCCATAAAGACTGTGCAGAGTATACCAAAAGTAAATTCAAAGTCCCTTTTTCCTGCTGGGTTCCATCAACGCTGTGGCTCTCCTGCCCCGTGTAACCCATCTCCATCACACTGGAGTCTCCTGGGGCTTGGGGCCAGCCACCAAGATGGGGCATCAGGTGAGCAGGGATTTCAGCGGATTGTGTGGATGTGCAGAGTTCTCCTGCCCTTCTGTGAGGCTGTGTGATTATGAAGCCCTTGGAGATCCTTGGATGAAGGGCATGTTCTTACTTGAGGGTCCAATATAAGGTCATGAGAAGTTTTCCAGACCTGCACCATATACTGTAGGGCCTTTTCCCAACCCTGTCCCTATTCCCAGGCTCCTGCACCAGCTCCTCTGGTTGTTGGTATCATCAGCATAGTGCTTGCTGGGAATCTCTGCAGCGCTGACCTTGACTTGGTATGAGAGGCTGGCCTGGGGTGCAGGTGCTGTGCTGAGATGGGCTGAGAGTCTGGCCAGGCACCATGGAGAGGAGCTTAGTGTAAATGCCAAGGGGAAAGTTGCCTCAGCCCAGTTTACCCGATTACCCGTTTCACTGGCAGAACGTTCTGCTCTGTGCTGGTCTCTGCCATCCACACCCACAGACGGCGCCGTAAGAGTATTCGAACAGTCACAGTTGGGCCAGGGGATGTCTGAGCTGCCAAGCGGAGTGGGAGTACGCACCAGACAGCTAACCGGTCATGAGACCTGCCTTTAGATATTGATGGGTGTGGAGTGTTCAGTGCTTGCATGGGAAGTCTCCGGTTTCTACAAACAATTGCTGGGCCTGTCCTTTGCTTGTGCCTCCTACCACGGAAAAGCAAATAAGGCAGAAGTTGATTCAGTGGGGGCTGGGCTGCAGACAACGCTGGCAAACAATCCTTGGCCAGTGATGGTGAATAGGCACCAAGCAGGGTAACGGGTGATGGGCACCATGAAAGGAGGGCTGATGCTCATCAGTGTGGTGGACCAGGTCGCGCCCTGTGCTAGCGGGGTCAGTTGACAGGCGTTGGTGGGGCCTAGGACTGTTCCCTGGGGTTCTTTGAACCCAAAGCTCTTGGTAACTTTTGCTCTGTGCGAGGTGGCGTCAGGAAATAAATCAGGGGAGACACGGCTGGCCGGCCGACCGATAGATGGCGGCACAAACAGGACAACACAAGAGTGCTTTCACTTAAAGCTAAACTGTACTTAGTCTCAAGCACTTACACACACGTCCGCAAGAGGTTAGTAAAACACCCCCAACCCTCGATAATTACCGAAGCTGAGTGTCTCTCTCGAGTGGCACAGCGGCAGCCCGTCTGCCGCTGGGAAACACAAGTTGCATCCAGAGAGAGAGAGTCCAGTCCTGAAGAGTCCCCCTACCTCAAACTTTTCCCCCTTATTTATACATTAGTAATAGAATGACATGTCCCTTAAAGAAAACTTGTTAAGCAAGCAGTTCCAATGGGCAAGCAAGAGGCTCCTTCTGATTACCGATTAACCAGGTGTGGGTTTTTCCAGAGTTTGCAGCCTTGAGGCCCCAATAGACGTTCCTGGGGCACATCCTGCTCTTCTAAGATGCATGCATCAGCAACTTCAACACAGTCCTTATCAGGAAGGATGCGGGGTCAAGCTGCCCTTTCTGTGGCACCCAAACCCCCCCCTCCCCTCCTGCCTTGGTTAAGCTAAGCCTGCTGACTTGGCTGCTTTTAGCAATAAGCCATAGTGATTTCAGGCACTTTACTGGTTTGCCAAAGTCTCCCCGTCCAGTTTGTCTTCACCAGGGATGCAGCAGTGAGGTCACTGCGAAATTCCAGATAGCCTTGCCTCAGGGTCGCCGGAGCACTACAGCAGGGATTGCTCTGGGTGGCTCCGGGCTCTTGAGATCTCTGCCGTCTAGTCTTGCTGACACTCTTGCTACCTTTAACGTTCCTTGTGGTAATGGAGTGACCTTTTCTTTCAGGGGTTTTGAGTAGTCAGACGCCTCCTGGGAGTGGCTACAATGTTTGAGAAAACAGTGACTGGCTTTGGCAAGAAGCTGATCCGCCGCCGAATCGTGGATCTCAGCGTGGAGGACTCCCGGCTGGCCCGCTGCCTCTCCACCCTGGACCTTATCGCCTTGGGGGTCGGCAGCACGCTGGGGGCAGGCGTGTACGTGCTAGCTGGGGAAGTCGCCAAGGAAAAGGCCGGCCCCTCAATTGTTGTCTGTTTCCTGGTTGCTGCACTCTCCTCTGTGCTGGCTGGGCTTTGCTATGCGGAGTTTGGGGCCCGGGTTCCCAAAACTGGCTCTGCCTATCTCTACAGCTACGTCACCGTGGGAGAGATCTGGGCCTTCACAACTGGTTGGAACCTGATCCTGTCCTACGTGATAGGTACGAAATGGTGGCCAAGCTGCTCAGGCTTGCTGAAGAGGAGGAACTTGGGGTGAACGGGGGCAGACTCTCCCTGAACACTCCAGCGGGTGGAGGGCAGGGGAGAACTTCCTGAGTTTGCTGATCACAGGGAGGTGTCACTGCTGGGATGGAGGGTCTGGCCAAGCCCTCCCGGGATGGGGGCTCTCTGAGGCCGTCCACATGGTGGCTGTGCTTATTGGACATCTGGAGCACGGGGGTCTTGGGACAGAGTTCAGGGGTCATCTGCCAGGCCAGACAGTGCTGGGAGCCCCTCTCTGGTGACCCCAGCCTAGGCCGTGCTTGGTGTTGCCAAGGCCCAAAGAGCAGTGCAATGAGCCAAAGGCTTAGGGGTGGTGCGGTGAGGAATGGCAATCCCAGAGGAAGGTAAGGCAAGCTCTTACCTTCAGGCACAGCAATGCTGGGGTGATGGTGCTCGAGGGCTCTCGTGACAAAGGCCTGGATCCTCCCGGTGCTCGGTGGTAGAGCTGGGCTCCCTGTGCTGCGGGGTGGGGGGGTCTCCACAGCTCTGACATCCACTTGGAAGGAGGTGGGGGGCAGAGGCTTCTCTGGTTAACGTGCAACTTTGCTCTTGGTTGCTAGGGACGGCGAGTGTTGCCCGGGCCTGGAGTTCTTCCTTTGACAATATCATTGGCAACCACATCTCAGTCTTCTTTAGGAACAGCACCTCCCTGCATGTGCCGGGTGTGCTAGCCGAGTACCCAGATTTCTTCGCACTGCTCCTGATCCTGCTGCTCACAGGTGAGAGGTGCCAGAGCTCTGTAAAGATACATGAGCTTTGTGGCATGGGCAGGCGAGTTTGGGAAGGCCATGGCTGGTGCTAGCCCCAGGGGAGCGTTTGAGGGGAGGGTGTGGCCCAGGGGCATTGATCGTGGGGAGAGTGTAGCTGGTGCTGCCCCTCCTATCCCCTCTTGTGTTCCTTCCCCAGGTTTGCTGGCATTTGGCGTGAGCGAATCTGCCTTAGTGAATAAAATCTTCACTGCGGTGAACCTGCTGGTTCTCTGCTTTGTCATCATCTCTGGTTTTGTGAAAGGAAGCGTCAAGAATTGGCAGCTGTCTGAAGAAGACTATTACAACCACTCAGCCATGGCCACCAGCCAGGACGTTAGGTAGGTGGAACATCCCACTCCCCAAATTCTGCCCTCTAGCGGGAGCCCAGCCCAGCTTTTTGCCCACAGTTGGTACCTACCTAGGGAGCTGTGCTGTCCATGCCCGCTCTGGCTGCTGCTTGGTGTTCCCCTAGCTAGTCGGGTTCCAAAGGGCTGTGCCCTATCCTGGATTTGTCCTTGGCAGGGAGTGTGCCATGCAGCTTCCCCTGCAGTTGACAGTTGCACTGTCTGGTTTGTGCCTGTCGCAGGCTGTTAAGCTGCATATTGATGGTGACTGTAGACACCTGCTCCCATGGCAGGGATGCCTTACACAGGATGCAGTGTGAGAAACCTGCATGTAGCATTTGCTCAGGGCCTTTTCAGCTCTGTCTCCAGCAGGCAGAGGAGGTAGATGTTAACGGAGACTCCTCCAGAACAATGACCAGTCTTTCCTCTTTCAGCATTGGCTCCCTGGGATCAGGGGGTTTCGTTCCTTTTGGATTTCAAGGGATCCTCGCTGGAGCTGCAACATGCTTCTATGCCTTTGTGGGATTTGACTGTATCGCTACAACAGGTAAAGCAGCTACTTACGCATTATCTTCCGGGAGTTTGGGATGTGGTATTTCCCCACATTCTCCCCGTGAGTCACCATCTTTCGTGCAGTGATCTCTGGTTGCAGAATTTCCAATTTGTGGGTGTGGGCGGGCAGTTGGCAGCTGCACTTGCCAAGCCAAAGGATCAGCTCTCTGAGATCCCTGCATGGCCCAGGGTGGAGTGTTGCAGGCCTTTGGGTGCTGCCAAGAGCAGAGACTTCACTTCCTGATCTGGGAAATGCTCAGATTTATGAGCCTTTCTGCAAACATGGGGACTTAGCCGTGGTAATTGGCACTGTGGGTACAATGAGATTTCACCAGCCTGCACCTAGAAAACTGGTTCTTGTAAACAATCTGCACCATTTAATGACAAGACACCCAGCAGGCAGATGGAGTCTTTTCCCTGAAGTGTCGTCTGCTTTCTGGTGCACAGCCTGGAGTCTGCTCTCCCTGCCATGTGTGCAGGCTCCTGGGAATGCTACTAGGAGTGGGAGGCCCATGGAGGCGAGCGTATGGACTGTGGCTGGGATGTCTAGTGTTGATGGCCCAACCCACAGTAACTTACTCTAAATCCCCGAGTTCATTGAGAACGTGCCCTTTGCCGAGAGAGAGCCTCGGCTTCCTCCTGTCACGGCCAGGAAATGCTGTGAGCAGGCTTCCCAGTGAGATTCACTGCGTGGCCCCAGGCCCCAAGCCGGCAGGATCTCAATGCAGCCCTCGCCATGTCTGCACCCAACCGAACTGAGACCGCGGCAGTGTCAGGAGCAGGGTGTTCTCATGCCCCAGGAGTCCCTGTCCTACTGTGCCTGTTCACCCCTTTTTGAGCACTCTGCAGCATTGTCTGGCCTGGCAGATGGGGCTTGGAAAACGTACCGGACGTCCCTCGTCAGAGCCCTAAACCTACTAGCTGTAGCCGAGGCTCCATGGTGACATCCCTGGGCAGTCGCCTTGTGATAATCCCTGCCCTGACTGGTTCTGCTGTGAGAAGGGGAGAGTGCTGGGATTTCTACTAGGGTGTTGTACCTTTGGCCTGCTTGGATGCTCCCTCTTCCATGTCGGCTTGTGGCTGGTGGTGCGTTTCATTTCAGGGTCCTGCCCCATGGAATAACCCCAGTGCCTGCCTCTGCTGCTGCTTCCCACACTCGCAGCAGCTCTGTGAAATCAGCCTGATGACTGGCAGCGTTGGGGTTCTGCCCAGGTTCTGGAGCTGACCCAGCTTGCTGATTTCACTGTGTAGCCAAGCTCAGGGCAGCAGCCGCACTGGAGGCCCTGGAGCTATGGGCAGGCTCAGACAGCACCACGCTAGGGCACACTGGGAAGGCTCTCCAGCTTCCTGGGCTTTCAGAGCAAAGCGAAATTTCTTCTGAAGCTGACTTCATCTCCGCTCGTCTGCGGCAATGGGGTTTCTGAGGCCCATTTACCACATTCCAGTGGCACAGCACGTGTGGATGTGTAGGGGAGGGAAGATGTTTGTGTTCCAGGTCTCATCTCTGCTCCTCTTTCAGGGGAGGAGGCCAAGAATCCTCAGCGTTCTATCCCCATTGGCATCATTGTGTCTCTCCTGATCTGCTTTGTGGCATATTTTGGAGTTTCTGCTGCCCTGACCCTCATGGTGCCCTACTATCTGCTGAACAAGGAGAGTCCCCTACCCGAGGCCTTCAAAGATGTGGGCTGGGAGCCTGCCCGTTACGTTGTAGCCGTTGGATCTCTCTGTGCACTCTCAACCAGGTAAGGAACGCGGGACTTCGTCCAGCACCCTGCTCCAGTAACAGCTTCCCCAGATCTTGTTCTGGCTCTGGAAATGATGAAGATGGTGTCTGGCTAACGGTGTTTAAGTGCGGGAGGCTAGATGGCCAGGGGAGAGGTTCATTTCCTTCCACAACATGGCAGTAATTGTTTACATCTCTGCTAGACCAATTGTAGCTTTAAACCAGTATAAGCAGCAGTCACAAAATGTACTGGTATTCTAGTGTATATGGGTGAAAAGCAAAACCTTGCCCAGCCTCGGACAGGAACGTTCCCTCCCAGACAGCTTGCCCTTGTGTGCCCAGTACGCTCCTATGCCCTCATTGAGGAGCCAAGCACCCCAGGAACCGGTCACGAGTGACCTGGGAAGAAACCAGTGACAGGCACTTGATGCCGTTTGCACTGACTCCATGCAGCCAATGGCCAGAAGAATGAGAAACTCGTGTGGTGGGAACTCATAGCAACAGAATTCAAGCGATGTAAAGCAGAGGCCTTTGTCTGACATCTGTGTACTTGCTCTGAGATAGCCCAAGCCCACCAGAAATGCATAATTTGTGCCTCTTCTACAGCTTCAGATCCTAGCAAATGAGAATTGCTGGGTCTGAGCCATTTGTTTATCTGAATAGTATGGAAGCCCCAAAACCTGTTGTCTGCCTGCTACCACGGCACGTGGATATAAACCAGGCGTCCATGCAATGCAGGCTGTTTCTCGGGGTGGGTGATACTTGTCAGCCCATCTGCTCTTCAGGAAAAGCCCCAAGGAACTCCCTCCTGTGGCCAGTTCCTCACACACCCCTCTTCATTTGCGGCATTGTTTTAAGTCATGGTTCTGATGTGCTGAGAGCTGTGCTTAAAAGTTCCATTCACATGGCTCATGGTAAGAACTTGTTCTTATCAGTGCAACAAAATAAATTGAAACAAAAGCACTAAGTTCTGGCCATGGCTTCTGGGGCTCCTCCTGCTCCATGTCACATCTGTGTGGTTCTGGTTAACTGGCCTTGTCTACATGCCTGAACTGTACTGGCTGAGCTGGGTTGGCTTAGGAACAGATTTAGTTCAACTGTGCGACCCGTTGTGGGGAAGCGCTTGCTCTGCTTTGAGTGCCATGTGTCGATCTGGCCTCATTCAGTGAGGAATCTAGTGGGGAGCATGAGACCACAGAACCCTGCCCCACCGCTGACTGTCAAACATGGTCGTCCGTGTTCTCTTCTCCTCCTCCTCCCCTCCCCCCCCCCCCATCGTGTGTGTGTTTATCACCAGCCATCAGCAGGGCATCCGCTACGTTTCTCCACTGAATTTACGCCAACTCCAAGAGTCAGATCAGAATGTACCAGCTGTGATCTAAAGGGACCAGACAAGAGATGAAGGGTCCTTCTGGCTAATCTCACTACCCAGTGCTTTTGAAAAGGCCACAGTGACTGGCATGGTGGCAAGAGGTCTGGATCGAAGCGGCAAATACTGAATGTGTTGGTGTAATCTTTCTCCCTGCAGTTTGTTGGGCTCCATGTTCCCCATGCCCAGAGTGATCTATGCCATGGCAGAGGACGGACTGCTTTTCAAGTTCCTCTCCAGAGTGAACACACGGACAAAGACTCCCCTGGTGGCCACTGTTGTGTCTGGCATCGTTGCTGGTAAGCAGATGCTTGCTTGTGCTTGGCCGCTCGTGTGACCTGTTGGAGAGCGAGCCCAGGGCTTGTGCTCACACTGTCCCTGTTACGTTGCAGCTCTGATGGCGCTCATGTTTGAGCTGAAGGACCTGGTGGACCTCATGTCGATCGGCACTCTGCTGGCGTACTCTCTGGTTTCTGTTTGCGTGCTGATTCTCAGGTGGGTGTCTGCCTACAGCTGGCCCCTTGGAGCGTGAGCTGCCTTCTGAACAGGGCCGCTTGGTTCACATGCTGGAGAGCGTGTGCTGCAGCCAGAGCTTCCTGCCCCCAAAGCCCCCTGCCCAGAAAAGCCATTTCTTGCCTCTTGGAGAGAAGCTGCCCCGGGGAGCCAGCAGCTATCCCCATGGGGATATATGGTAGGAGCTGACAGGCATAGGTTCTGAGACAGGCATAGGTCTGGCCCTAGCCAGGCTGTGGAGGTTGTCCTTCCTTCCCCCATTTGGATGCTCGGTGTGTGTTTGGGGGCGGGCCAGGAGGGGAGGGCTCCAGGCGTTTTGTGCTCTAGAAGCTCCACAAGGAGGGGCAGGGGAACCTTGGCTGACATCACAGGCCACTCATGCACCCTGAGCTTTGCGGCCTGTGACTATAGCTCTCCTGCACTCTCGCCCTCTGACCTTCCCTGTTGACTCCTCACTCGGGACTCAATGGAGCAGAGCCTGAGCAGTCACCAGGCTGCCGGGGTGCTGGAACAGTGTGTGTTGTGGGGGTGCTGAGAGCCATTGACCCAACTGCAAATCCTGGATATGATGGAAACCACTTCAAGCCAGGGGATGTGCAGCCCCCCCAGCACCCCTAGTTCCAGCACCGGTGCCAGGCTGGCCAGGCTCCGAGCCTTGTGAAAGCTACCCCAGTTGGTGGTAATGGTAAATCACATCCAGAAGCATTTGAACACTGTGGTATGTAGTCCCTGTGTGGGCCCGGACACCACAAGCCTGATGAAGGCGCCAGGCTGCATTGGGCCAGCTGGTCACTGTTGGCAGCGGACTTAGCTGCAGCCTGCACATTGACAGTCTTGGCCTGGATGCAGCTTTTCAGAATCTAGTGCCCTGGCAGGGAAGCACCAGAATCTGCTACGGCTCTGGAGGCAGCTTGACAGCTGTTGGGTCACCACTGACTTGGGGTTTGGTTCAGGTATCAGCTGGATCAGCTGAGCTCTCCAAAGGGACTGGAGATGGTGGAGCTGAATGGAAACGAGGAGGAGAAAGCGATCATGAACCCCTCCGTCAGTGACTCCCAGGCTGCCCTGCAGGAGGGGTTCACCTGCAGGTGCCTCTTCAACCCCCGCAGCAAAACTCCAACCAGCTTGTCAGGGAAAATTGTCTACGTCAGCACTGCGGCCCTTGGTAAGTGCACCAGGACGCGCCTGGCCTCGGCCGGGTAGGAGCACAGGAAGTGACAGCGATTGATTTAATTGGGTCTCAGACAGAATCCAGGCCTGCGATGTGTGCAAAGGCAGGAAATGAGCAGGGTTGTTGCCAAAGCCACACAGGAGCATCCTGTGTCATGCGCGTGCTCTGGCTTTCCAGTGTGGCCCCGGAGCTCAGCACAGGGTGAGCACACAACCACTGCACGTGTCTGCAGAACTCCCAGGGTGTCACTGCCATGACGGGCTGCTGGGTTGCTGTAGGGTCCCCAAGATGTGATGGGGGGCCTGCTGAGTCCATGGGTGGGGTAGAGTGACTGGGCCAGGGCGTGTGCCCCCTGCTGGGCTCGGGGGCAGCTAGCCTGGAGTGCTGATTGGAATGGTGGTGCCTGGGGAAAGCTCACAGGCAGACCTGCTCGACAGCCGTCAGCGTGGAGCTAGAGGTGTCTGTTAGGCTGGGACTGCTCGGGCATATCCTACGTGGAGCGCATGGGGGAAGGATTGGGGAGCTGAGAAACCCTGCAGGTCTCCCCCGACTGCCAGGAACTAATGGGACACACTAAAGGTTCAGTGCACCTGGGTGTGCTGCGTTACCCCCTTAATGAAGGCGTGTCACTAATTCTGTTGCTGGACTAGAGAAGCTGCCCCTCAGCGCTCCCGTCTAAGCAGGAGTCTCCTATAGGAGTAGCACAAATACCGGACTCCACATCCCATCCACAAAACGGGGAGATGGGACAGTGACCGTCGCCCGGGGCAGAGGGCTAGTGTTTGCAGAGTGCTACGCAAGTGCTTATTGATTGCCCCGGGGCTTCTGGGTGCATTTATTTGGAAGGAAACTGTCTCCAGTCACGTGAAGCTGGGTAAGAGAAGAGGCCAGGCTCTTCAGCTGGTCTCTAGGGATCTGCAGGCAGCCTAGAGAATAAAACCTGGCCGGCAGTTATGACCACACTCGTGCCTGCTGGCTGTGGCTGGAATCAGAGCAGGGAGTGCGGCAGTAGCCATTTTGCTTGGACAGCACAACATCCCTCTCCTTTCTTGCAGCTCTGTGCATCACCATCCTGTGCCTGCTCCTGGCCCAGGGGATGGACGACCTTTTGGAGGGCAGTGTGGGCTGGATCCTAGGCTGCATGGTCCTTCTGGTGCTTATTCTGCTCTCCACCATCATTGTCTGGAGGCAGCCGCAGAGCAACACCCGGCTGACTTTCAAAGTAAGAGTAACAGCCAGGAGCTGGATTCCCACCACCGCCGGTTCCATGGCAACCTCTGCTGGGGGCAGAGGGATTCGCTGCTGGCAGCTTGGCCGGGGGTGCAGCCAGGGCCATCTGGCCTGGAGACAGCCTGTCAGAGAGCTGCCTGGGGTCCTGGAGATTTTGCTGCCAGATAATTGGACAAAAGAATGAATGTTCCCAGCGTCTCAGTCCCCAGGTTGCGACAGACTCTGGGTGGCCCCCCTTGGCTGGAAGCACGGGGAGGGGAGGGCAGTCTGCCTGCTGTGCTCCTCTCCACAGCAGCAGTGTCTCAGCCTCTCTTGTCTCACAGGTGCCTTTCCTGCCGCTGCTTCCGCTCTTCAGCATCTTCGTTAACGTTTACCTCATGATGCAGCTGAGTGCCGGAACCTGGGCCCGGTTTGCTGTGTGGATGGTCATAGGTAAGCGAACACACCGCTCCGGGCATCGTGGCCTGGCCCAGAGGCAGGGACTCTCGCTCTTCACCTCCCCTCCTCATGAAAAGCCCCATAAGAGGGACCTTACAAGGGCTGGACTCCCCAGTATTCACCTGGTGATGGGCTTGGGCCTGGCAGAGGAGCTTCATCCCTGCCTGACGGGGGCCCAGTTGCCCTGTTCCACCCTGATTTTCACACCTTGCTGTGGAGACGTCTAGAAGCAGCAGGGTGCCGCAGTGTCCTACCACTGTGTGAGAGATGCTGAGAGCTGAGCCCTCTGGAGTCAACAGCTGGCAACGGGTGACGTTAATCTGCCTGCTGTGGCCACTCTTTGTCTAGAGCCCACCAGAAATGGGGTTTGGACCTTGCCTGCATCTCACTAGAGCACTAGGACAGGCCTGTTCCTCCTGGGGAGAGGGAGGCAGCGCTTGGGGGAGGAAGCGAGAGGCCCTTAGCCTGTCTGGGCTCTGGGGAAGGTGTGCCGGGGCTGGGTGGCAGGTTCCTGTGGCTCTTGGGCTGCCTGGGGACTGATTCCAATGCTGAAATTCCCTTGCAGGCTTTGCTATCTATTTTGGCTATGGAATTCGGAACAGCATAGGAGGGAAGAATGAAAATAAATCCCATTCCACAGCGGGCAAGTCTGTGCACTTCTCCAGGATAGGTCCCAGCCCTGAAGCTGCTACAGTCTGAGACTGAGGATGTTCAGAGCATTCTCATGTGCAACCTGGACTCCCTGAAGGCCCTTGTCCTCCTGGCCCCTCCTTTCTATGGAGCAGAATGGCAAACTGAGCAAGAATGCAAAGCCCTGGTCAGACGGATTCTGAAATGAGGTCTTGTGGCAAAGCCCGGTTGGGTCCTCTGTTTACCCTAATGAACTGGATGTTAAAATCCCAAACCAACCTGAGGATAGGGACGGGGCCAGTCGTCTGCCAACCTCCCTTCCCCTGGATGGATGTTACCTTTGACGCTGTTGTGTGTCAGGAATGCTGCTTTCTTTGGCTGACAGGAGGCCCCCGTGTAAATAGTGCAGCTATATTTATTCTGTCCGGCCATGTGGCTGGGGGCTGCCTTTCTCTCCTGTCTGTTTGTGTAAATCGAGTGCAGTGTTCCATGGTTCCTAACTCGCTCCTTGTATAGAGTCGTTTTTAAATGTTGGCTTTTGTACTATTAAACTCCAGGGTTTTTTAAATATCCAGCTCCTTCGATCCTCCGGTGGCTTGTTTCGATGCTTGTTTTATTTCCCCGTCCACATGTGCCTGTGGCAGCTGGAAAGTGGCCGCTCCGGAGCAGTGCAGTGGAATGCCTGGGGAAGGTGCACGCAGCAAACTGGACAGGGCTCTTTCCCAGAAGCTTTCTGGGGAGGGTTTGGTGTTAGGGGGAGACAGAGGCCTGGGTAATTACTCAGACACTAGAGGCTTTGTTACCAAGGCATGTGTCTCTGAGGAGCCCTGTTCCGTTATCATTTTAATTAAGTGTATCCAACAGTAGCATTTCCTCTGGCACTGTCTCAACCTCCTTTAATGGCGCTTTTACCTCTGCTGGTCTGCAGATCTCCCAGGGTTTAAGTGCTGCAGCCAGTGATGTTTTCCTGGCGCACTTAGGCCTTGTCTATACTAGAAGAGGGACTTAGCTATACTATACTTAGCTACCAGCAAACCCTCCCAGAGGGGAGACCGTAGTGATCCTGTCAGACCAGCAGCGGCGCTGTTGCCAGTGACACTTAGACCAGTTCTGCAAGGGAAATAAGTGGGACTAGAACCTCGCTTCTCTGTACAACTGCATCTACACCAGGGATTGTGCTACCTGTTCCGCGTGTGGGGGTTTCACATGGCTCACAGACCTAGCAATGATGACAAAACGTAAGTGGAGACCAGGGCTTTATGAAGAAGGATTTGGGTTACATAGCACTGGGGAGTCCCAGTCGTGGTCCAGGACCCCGTTGTGCTCTGCGCTTGCCAAGGCGGGCCTGGACTGACCTTCCGCTCACAGGGAGTTTCATGGAAGATCTGCCTTTCTCTGGCCATCCTTCACCTGCCCCAGAACTACACCCAGAGCTCCGGGTGTAGTGTCTGTCGGAGGCAGTGGGATGGTGGCTGGCCACCGAGGAGGAGGTGGTGGTGGTGCCCAGTAGCTCCTCAGCAGCGGCTAGCCGCACTTAGGGCGGTTGTAGCATAATGAGCCAGCCTGTCTGGAAGTGCCCACAGCTCCCACTGCAGGGCAGATGAGGTAGAGAATCCTGGGCTCCCAAAGGTGCTCAGCTGGACAATTGTATATCCAGGCAGACCTCTTGGCTCTGGCTGGCTTGTTAATCCTTAGAATGGCATCCAGTTGCCAGGCATGTTACGCTGAGCACTTAGTCACTGCAGATCTCAAAGCCGAGGGAGATTAGGGCGTTGTGCGGGGAGCCATCTGATCTGGACTCCTAATCCCAGCTCTGCCACAGATGTGGGGCAAATCTCTTCCTGTGTTTGTGGCTGTTTCCCTGTCTCCAAGATGAAACTAATCCTGTCTGTGCGCGTGAGGCTCAGACACTGCAGTGCTGTGGGAGACCGAGAGCCCCGTAGATACGATGGGGAAGGAGCATTATTCTAACTTTACAGGTGGGGAAATTCAGGGGCCTGAAGCTAAGGCAGAGAGTCCAGCTGGCTCCAGGGGAGCAAGGCATTGCTTAGGTGCTGGCCTGGAGGGACCAATGCCAAATCTCTCATGTCAATGGCAGAGCTGGGAGTGGAATCCAGGTTTCCAGACTCCCACTCCTGAGCCCTCTCTGCTGGGCCATGCTCCTTCCCAGCTGCAATGGAGGCTGGACCTTCGGTGGAGCAGGTATTGAGGAGCATGTCTCTGGGCTGTCCAGCCCACCCTGTTGCGAGCTGCAGGGGCTGCTCCTCGTCAGCTTGGGAGAATGCCCAGGCAGGTGGCAGTGTTTTGGGGCTAGTGGATGCAGAGGGGAGCTAGCTGCTCTGAGAGGGCTGGTGCTGACTCCAAAGTCCTTGTCAAGGGCAGCGGAGGCTACATATTGTGTATTCAATGTCTCCCTTCCCTCCCATGGAGAGAAGCCAGCAGCCCAGACTCCTTCCTTCAGAGGGTGGGGGAATGTGTAGGAACCCGAGGGCCTGGCTCCTGAGGGGACTGGGACGGGTCATGCAGTGCCCTGGGGGCTCCTGCTGGCAGGTATAAGAGTGTCTGACAGGAACCAAGGTGGGGCCCTGCTGCTGCCGCCTGGGTTTTCAAACTGCTCCCATCTCTTGTGCAAGTCGTTTATTAAAATGAAGTTCAGTTGACCTCTGAAATGGCCTTTTCCCTTCTCCCCTGCTGGGCTCAGCAAGTCTGTCCCCAAAGGCTCCAGCTTCTGCTGCCTGGCATTTCCTCGTCTGCCTTCTGCTCTCGGTAGGCTGTGCCATCAGGCTGGTGTGGAGAGCCCTGTCCTTGGGTCCCTCTGGGTCCCTGTGATGGGGCTTCAAGCCTCAGCCCCTCAGAGCCCTCTGTGCCGGGGAGCCCTGCCTGGCCCATGGCAGATTCAGCTCCTCTGGACAGACCTAGCGCTGGGCCTCTTCATCCCTGTCCCCAGCCTCCCAGTGTGGTGCTTGGTCACTTGACTCCCCTACAGGCCCAAACCCATCAGCGGGACTGGATGACAGGGCACAGGTGGGGCTGGGCCCAAATCCTTCAAAGGGTCAGCTGCCCCTGACAGCAGGATTCCCACTTAAATCCCTGCGTGCGGGGTTTCTTGCCCTGGGGTGGTGGTGGAGCTTCCCGTCTTCTGACAGCACAGGCTCTGAGCCTGCCCAGCCTTTGGTGACTGAGTCTTGGGCCTCCGGGCTCCGCATAGTGTGTGCCGTCACAACTCTGCCAGCGTGCCCCCGGCTGCCCCCGGTTTGAGTAGCTTGGCTTAGAATCACAGACTATCAGGGTTAGAAGGGACCTCAGGAGGTCATCCAGTCCCACCCCCTGCTCAAAGCAGGACCAACCCCCAATTAAATCATCCCAGCCAGGGCTTTGTCAAGCCTGACCTTAAAAACGTCTACGGAAGGAGATTCCACCACCTCCCTAGGTAACGCATTCCAGTGCTTCACCACCCTCCTAGTGAAAAAGTTTTTCCTAATATCCAACCTAAACCTCCCCCACGGCAACTTGAGACCATTACTCCTCGTTCTGTCATCTGCTACCACTGAGAACAGTCCAGACCCATCCTCTTTGGAACCCCCTTTCAGGTAGTTGAAAGCAGCTATCAAATCCCCCCTCATTCTTCTCTTCCGCAGACTAAACAATCCCAGTTCCCTCAGCCTCTCCTCATAAATCATGTGTTCTAGACCCCTAATCATTTTTGTTGCCCTTCGCTGGACTCTCTCCAATTTATCCACATCCTTCTTGTAGTGTGGGGCCCAAAACTGGACACAGTACTCCAGATGAGGCCTCACCAATGTCGAATAGAGGGGGGCGATCACGTCCCTCGATCTGCTGGCAATGCCTCTACTTATACATCCCAAAATGCCATTGGCCTTCTTGGCAACAAGGGCACACTGCTGACTCATATCCAGCTTCTCGTCCACTGTCACCCCTAGGTCCTTTTCCGCAGAACTGCTGCCTAGCCATTCGGTCCCTAGTCTGTAGCGGTGCATTGGGTTCTTCCGTCCTAAGTGCAGGACCCTGCACTTGTCCTTATTGAACCTCATCAGATTTCTTTTGGCCCAATCCTCCAATTTGTCTAGGTCCCTCTGTATCCTATCCCTGCCCTCCAGCGTATTTACCACTCCTCCCAGTTTAGTATCATCCGCAAATTTGCTGAGAGTGCAATCCACACCATCCTCCAGATCATTTACGAAGATATTGAACAAAACCGGCCCCAGGACCGACCCCTGGTCGGCCCAGCCTTGGCAGGGTCTCACTCCCTGTCTCTGGAGGGAGAGTTCTGGTAGCTTCAGTGCAACTCACTGGATGTGTTTGGGACTCTGCTCCACTCTGATCTGTAACGCGTTCACTATTAG